ATCACTTCCTTGATTGGTGGAGGGTCGTTAGCCGAACGGGTTTGATAGGACACTTAATTCTCATTAATAAGTATAATGAAATAAATAAAGTAACTAAATGTTTTTATAAATATCCCAATCTTAGTTACTTTAGGAAAATATGAATTTGATGCTAACCCATGAAATTGCACATTGCACTTTATGAAAGTCGTTATTGGAGCATGTGTGGCTAACCGGCACACTAATATGGACTAATAAAGGGTGGCAATGGGTAGCTCGTAAATTATCATTGATCAATGGAGCGTGTGTGGTTAACCGACACATTGATTAGGCGATAAATGACATCGAGAGTACCAAGCTAATTTGCATGGTTATTCACACATTGTTTGTGATCCTCGATATCCCAGTCACAAATGGAAAGAGCATAATCGAGATTAAACATGGCATTGAATAGTTCAATGAATCTCAAAATATCTAGGAATTTCATTTAAAACCTAATTCGTTTAAAATTTCGTTTTTCGTGGTGAAATTGGTAAATCGTCATTTACCTACTTTCAAATAATTTACAATTGGATTACGACATCCCTCTTATGAATTGTGAATTATTGTGTTGGGTCATAATCTTAATATTTCACTTGGGTGTCATATTAAGGATTTCCTTATCTAATAAAAACTTATCCTTCTTCTTTTTTAGATGTCAACTTCAAACAACGCTTCCGGCTCCAACTCCAACAACAACACCAACCACTTCTCGCTCCTGAGCATCTACTCAAAATTCACCTTTGATGGATCCAACTATAATGATTGGATTCGCAACATCAAGATGGATTTGAGATTCGACGACAAGGAATATGTTCTCGAAAAGGAGCTGAACGAGATCGATGAAACCCTAGCTTTGGGAGTAAGCAACTAACAGCTATATAAAGACCCCAACCCCTTAGAATTTCGGCCCCCATGCTATCAAACCCTAATAGAGCCGAATTCTAGTGCTTCCTCCTCCTCTCTCCTCTCATCCTCTTGCATAGAGTGTTTGTAAGCCATTAGAGGTGTCACATTTGAGGCACTTGCTCCCAAGAGTTCAAGATCTTCAAGGATTCATTGTTATTTCTATAAAACAATCAAGGTATGTATCTAAACCCTAGTTTATGTGATTTCGAAAATTGTACATGCCTCCTAGGGTTTCTAGTTTTGTGTTCAATGCTTGTATGTCTAATAGAGAAAACATAGATCCAAACAATTAGGGTTGCATGCACACATAGGATTGTTTACTATGTATAGTCCAGATCCTGAAGTATGTTTGGGATCCTAAGGTTTGCGGATCCGGAGGTTTGAGGATCTTGATTATAGTTCTGAAATCCTAGCCCTAACATTAATGTTGTAAGAAACCAAAATGAGAGATTGGGGTCGGTTTTTTCTCAAAGAGTGGCTGATGATTTTAAATCCTTTATTGATGATGTTGGCCTTTGTGAAATTCCTATGGGTGGGTATTCTTTCACTAGAGTTAGTAACAACGAAGCCAAATCTAGTAAGCTTGATAGATTTTTACTATCTGAAGAGGTGATCAATCAGTTCCCTGATCTTTATGTCATGGCTGTGGAGATGATTATTTCAGATCATAGACCCATTTGGTTGTCTCTAATTACTTTGGATTATGGTCCCCAACCGTTCAAGTTTTTTAATTCCTGGATGTTAGAACTTGACTTTGATCAGATTGTTAAAAGTTATTGGACTGAGGAAAGGGGAGTCGAGGGTGAAAGTGCTTGTATTAACTTCAAGAACAAGCTTAAAGGGCTTAAAGATATTCTTAGAACATAGTGGAAAGAGGTGAAGAAGAAACGAGATGAGGAAAAAGATATGTTTTTGCAGAAGATCCATAATATAGACAAATTGATTGATGCTGGTGTTCTCAGGTCTCATGATCAGGAGGAAAGAATGAACATTAAATCGAAATTAAATAAATTGGAGAAAAAGAGTTGACTGATCTCTCTCAAAAAGCGAAAATTAAATGGTCTAAAGAAGGAGATGAAAATAGTAAATATTTTGATGGGATTATTAAAAAAAGAAGAATACTTATGGCGATAAGGGGTGTAAAAGACGAAGGAGAGTGGGTTACTAATCCTATGAAAGTTAAAAACATTTTTTTACGCAATTTTGTGAAAATTTTAAACAAGCTCTGTTTATTGAGATTGAAAGGAGGAGTCCACGGTTTTCATCCCTTACAGAAATGGAATCTACCGGTATTAAGAGTATGATTACGTTGGAAGAGATCAAACTCACTGTTTGGTCTTGTGGTAATGAAAAAACACCTGGTCCGGATGGGTTCTCTTTTTCATTTATTAAAAAGTATTGGGATCTGTTAAAGAATCATATTTTCACCTTTGTAAGCTATTTTTTTACATTGTAAAAATCCTTTGGGGTGTAACTCTTCTTTTATTACGTTGATTCCAAAAATTGATAGTCTGATGGGTGTTAATGATTCCCAACCTATCAATCTAATTGGAATCCAATATAAGATCATCTTAAAAGTTCTAGCGTTTCAATTGGCTAATGTTATTAATAGTATTGTCAGTCATTAACAATCAGCTTTTGTGAAAAATCATCAGATTTTGGATAAGCCTCTTATGGTGAACGAAATTGTCGAATGGGATAAGAGAAAAAGAAAGAAAATGATGTTATTGAAGATTGATTTTGGAAAAGCTTATGATACGGTTAATTGGTCCTTTCTTGATCGCATAATGTAGTTTATGAATTTTGGTTCTAAGTGGAGATCTTGGATCCGAGCTTGTTTGATGATAGTGAGATCTTCAGTTCTTCTTAATGGTAGCCCTACGGAGGAATTCCAATTATTTAAGGGGTTGAGACAAGGTGATCCCTTATCACCGTTATTGTTTATTCTTTTCATGGAGGGACTTCATGTCGCTATTGAAGATGCTTAAGTGGATCATCTTTTTAAAGGAGTTCAAGTTAGAAATGGAGATATGAGAATTTCACATTTTTTATGCGGATGATGTGATCATTCTTGGTGATTGGATTCGGTCAAATATTACAAACATAGTTCGAGGTCTTCATTGTTTTTTTCTGGTTTCAGGATTAAAGATTAATTTGCATGGGTCTAGTCTTTATGGGGTTTGCACTTTGTTTGAGGAAGTCGAAGATTTTGCTTTGGTTGTTGGGTGTCGTCCAGATAAATTGCCTTTCATTTATTTTGGACTCCCTGTGGGCCAAAATTTGTCTAGGGTGGTGGCTTGGAAGGTGGTTATAGATAGATTTCAGAAAAGGCTATCAAATTGGAAGGCTGATACTCTATCTATTAGTGAAAGATCGATGCGTCAGTTCTTTGAGTCGATGAAGCAGTAACAAAATTTGATATAGGTGAAAGAGGGAAAGCCCTTCGGCTGCGGTAGTTACAGGATCATCGGATAGCTATTAAAGGCATAACGAAAGAAAGGACCTTGATAAAGTCGGTATTGGGATCGTTAGGTATATATTTCATGTATTTGTTCCTTATGCCAGTTGATGTTGCTAAGAAGTTGGAATCTCTACGTGCAATTTTTTTTGGGAGGAGCAGATAAAAACCGCAAAATGTTGTGGGTTCAATGGGAGATGGTGCTTGCAAGTAAAAAGAATGGTGGTCTTATGATTGGAAGTTTGATGGCGTTAAATTTTGCGCTTCTTCAGAAATGGCGTTTGATATTTTTACATAATAGCAATTTGCTTTGGGTTAAAGTTGTCAAGGAGTTATATGGTGAGAATGGTGGTCTTGATCGAGTTGGTACTTGGGGGCGGCACCTTGGGCTCGTATTCTTGCATCCTATTCGAAACTTCATTCTCATGGTGTGGATTTAGAAAGTTGGGAATGGTGTTTTGACTAAAATTTGGAAATATAGATGGCACGGTGAGATAATGGCAACTAGATTTCCAAGGTTGTTTGAGGTAGATCTTAATAAAGATTGTTCTATTGTTGATAGAAGATGTAATGGCGACTGGAATTGGGATTGGCATCATGAAATTCAAAGAGGTGTTGAGTTTCAACACTTTTCAGATTTAATGGAATGTCTTCATGGAGTTGTTTTGATTGATAAACCTGATTTTTGGTGTTGGGAGATTGGGAAAGAAGGGATTTTTACGGTTGGAGATACTAGAAGATGGATTCATGATATAATTATTCCTTCTATACAACCGGAAACCAGGTGGAATCCTTTTGTGCCTAGAAAAGGTAAAGATTCTTCGACGGAGAGTTTTATTGAATAGAATTTCTACTCGTTTTAATTTGGCGAATAGAGGAATTGATGTACCTTCGATTTTATGCCTGATTTGTGATTTACATGTCCATCAACTTGATCATATTTTCGTTAAGTGTGAGCTGACAGCTAGAATTTGGAATGAAATATTTCATTGGTTGGAATTGGATCGATTCGAGTTTGAATCTGTTGAATGTCTGTTTTCCATAATGGATAACTTTCTTATCAATTTAAAAAAGAAAGATGTTGTGGATGCGATTTTCTGTACTATTGTTTGGTACATTTGGAAATACAAGAATAATATGATGTTTCAAGCGGGGAAGATGCGGAAAGGTGATATCGTTGACCCCATTAAAGATTTTTCTTTTCTATAGTTTTTTAATAGGAATCGTAAATGTTATTTATCTTGGATTAGTTGGTTAACAAATCCTTTAAACTTTTTGTAATTTTCAAGCTACTTGCTAGTTTTTTTTAATTTATTTGGTTGTTTTCTAAAAAAAATAATAAGAACTCAAGCATTCCTTCACACTAGAAAATAGAGTTGATTCGTATTCATTTTTTTTTCCATGCATAATAATTTGTATTTTAAAATATTGTATTACAACTCTATAAATCATAAATTGTTGTATATAAAAAAACTGTTGGATGCAGATCATTTCCTTAGAAAATATCAAAGGTAATATTATTCAAATTACATTAGAATGACAAACAAGTTATGAAACTGAAACCAAATGTAATTTCAAAAACACAAAAAACCTAAACATAATTTGAAACATTGGATTAAAGGCTTGAGTTTTTGCTAGCAATGTCAATGACGAAACGATACTTCACATCATTGTTGGCCAATCTTTCAAAGGCTTCGTTAATTTTGTCAGATGTAACCATCTCAATATCGCATGTGATGTTGTGTTTCCCACAAAAGTTCAACATTTCTTGAGTTTCTTTCATACCTCCGGTCATGCTACCTTTCACCGTCCGTTTTCCTAACATAATTATATATCCGTATACTTTAGCTCGATAAACATATTCAAATTATTTGATATGAAAAACTATGTGTATGTGTACATATGTCGTCATAGTTAATTTACAAAGTACGAACAATATTATCCTAAATGGGTTTTATTTATGACTTTATGTATATATATGTAATTATGTATGCAAGTATGTTGTATACTTCAACACATAAAATGCAAGACATATCCTGGACTTTTTACAATACTTTCTTAATTAAGCTATCTACTTAGCTCATTTATTTTAATAATAATGTCGCCCAACAACCCGATTTAACAAGTTATTTAGCCTGTTAGATTGGTCTATATTCTACCAAACATGCATATAATATTTAAAAAACCCTAAAAAAAGTGAAAGGGGAAGCTTACGTACCAAAGATCATAGGGAAAGCAGGCAACTCTAGAGGCTTGTCGGGTGCACCCAAAAGTGCCAGTGTCCCATTCACTTTGAGTAGCTCAAGTGTTGGTCCAAGCGAGTGTGGTGCAGCCACAGTGTCCAATATGAAGTCAAGTGTCCTCCTCTTTGACTGAAACAAGAAAAAGTCAACTCAAACTATAGATATACTTATCAATATTTAAAACTCTAATTGTCACATGCGGCATATATTTTATTCTCATGGCATCATAGAAATTTTTAAATAATATGTCATGTCACAATAACAACATAGATTTTTTTTTATTTACACAAATAATATCATAGCTAAGAGCTAACCTGCATTTGTTTGGGATCAGTGCTGATGATAAAATCATCAGCGCCCAAACGTTCCTTTGCCTCTTTCTCTTTTGAAGGAGACGTGCTAATGACTGTAACATGGTGACCGAAAGCTTTACCGAATTTGATAGCAACGTGTCCAAGTCCACCCAACCCCATGATACCAATTCGCTTTCCAGTCGACTCATGCAGCTTGCTATCGATCATCGGTGAGTACACTGTGATCCCTGCACATAGAAGCGGTGCTGTTGCATCCATCGGCAAGCTTTCCGGTATATGGACTACATACCTTCAACATATATACGTAATATGTTCTTTTGTTAGATATTGTTATTCTAAATTTTGCATAAAATGCATATTTTATAAAAAAAAATAATATAAATGTAAGACGCTTAACAAAACGAACTAGTAGGACAATAAATTAAAATATATAACTACATATACGTTCAACCTTTTTCTGGATTTCATATGATTGTCCTCTTTTTTATAGATAGAAAGTACTATAGACAGTCGGCTACAATTTAGACCACTTTAAACTACTTGATCATTTTTTATTCTTTTTAGTTAAAGTCTTTAACTTTACTCACTAGACTCATCGAAGCAAATACACCATATACTGATATACGAACATAGTGAAAATACAATTTCCACTTATGAATAGATGTTATTGTCTTATACGATTCTTGCACAAAAAAAAAATCATCTTGGTTAAAATAAATTAAAAACGAAAAACGTGTCCAACCAGATTCGATGCAATTTGTCCTGATCCTTATACATCAACCAATCCCTTGTATGGTCCGCAAATAAATGTCTCTCCGTGACCAATTTAATAATATGAATTATTCGTTATAATTTATCGTTGGAATATTAAACACATTGACCGGGTCCGTTGAATAATAGTCCGCTAGTAAGTGACTCCGGTTCAAATTATTTTAGTGCGAGTCATGGCATTTTCCATCATAATTTAGTGTTGGTATGAGAATTAAATACTGGTCCAGCCACCATTCGCATTGAACCGGTGCACCCACTTTCTTTAACCACCTACTGCGTTTACACCCCAACGGCAACAACCGTGGCATGTGATGTTTTTAATATACTTCAAAGCTATTAAATACTATATATTATTATATTAATATTACCTTCAATAGTATTATTTATGAAAGCTTTATGAAATAATTTAGTTTTAATTGAATTAGTAAATATGTATAGTTGTATACCCATGAATATGATACAAAATGTCATTAAAAGGTAAAGTTTATGATTTACCGATGATCGAAGACCAACATCTCAGAATAACCTCCATAGGTGATGCTGCCGTCCCAGAAGATACCATTGTATGTCAACTGAATCTTGTCACAGTAATTTTCCATTGAGTCATTGCAAAATTCACAGTCCAAGCATGATGCAGCCAGACATCCTACCCCAACTCGGTCCCCGATCTTGAACCCTTCAACGTTGCTCCCGATTTCGGTTATCAATCCTGTTACTTCATGCCTAAAACATGTAACATACTTTCATTGTAAGTAAACTACGTAACACTTGACATTTGACAATATTAATTAAATCGTTTTACCAAGTAGTTACTGTAAAATATATGTGGAGTCCTTAGATTACACTCTAATATATATACAGAGACATAAATGAAATGACCGTTGACACACTAACACTTTTTATAGATGGAAGCTCGATATGAGTATAAAAAAGGAGGTGTTAAGTCGTAGAGGAGAGACACCAACTATAATACCATGTAAGATATATGTGTAGTCTTTGGATTAGTTTCCAAAAAACTTAGATGAAAAGAGGTTAAACCCAAACATATATAGAGAGACACGGGACAATGTTTGACCGATGTAGGACATACTAACAGTTACAAAGACATACACATACACACATACAAAAATTTATATGATCAATGAAAGCTTCAAATTTGTACAAAATATCAAGAAATAGACTTACCCGGGAACAACCGGGTACCTAGTGATACCCCAATCGTCTTTGACGTGGTGAATATCTGTGTGACATATCCCGCAATACAAGATTTTGATCGAAACATCATCAGGTCCATTAACTCTGGAAAATAAACATTATGCAACATGATTTATTAGAATCAAAATTCAAAATAAGCATGAAATAAAAAGAATAGATGAAAAAACTGGAAATAATTGACAATAAATGAAAGCATATGTACCTTCTCTTGAAGGTGTATGGAGTGATTAGGCCGGAGTTATCATGAGCGGCCCAACCGGAGACAGTGAGCTTGTGATTGGGAGTGACTTGAGCCATTTGTATGTCTGAAATCAGAATTGAAATATACACAGAAAGAGAGACGCATGGTTCATATATTTATGCTCGTGATGGTAGTCGCATTGAGCCTCCATATATTATTATTTTAAAGTTATATTTCTTTGTAGTTTTCATTAGAAGAATTTTATATAATCTCAATTATATATCTCAATTTGAAAAATATTTGACCAAAATGACACTTCCTTGAAATTTCTGTTGACTACTATCAAAGAAAAGGAAAGTTAATTAAGACTTAGGAAATTTAATGTGAACAATATTAAAAGAGTTGTTGACTAATATGAAAGCTGGTTATTTCAAGTTAACTACCGATACAGGAAAAGTATGAACAAATTTTAATCATATATTTTTAATTCCTTGTACCGTCTAGATTTGACTATATATTTATCCATTGCGCATGATGGATGAGTCCATGATATTAGTAAAGAAGTAAAAAATTGTATAACTGTCTCTATTTATAGCGAACGATTCAAACGAAGTTGAGGCACATAGATGATCTTTTGGTGAAGATGTCAA